GAAAAACTTGATCTAAGCTGGAACTCGTTGACGCTTCTACCGGACGACATCAATAGATTGACATTACTCCGAGAGCTTTCCCTCGGTAAAAACAACCTCACATCGCTTCCTGCTAACATCATCAAGCTCTGTGACCTTGAAATGCTACACATAGAGTACAACGCACTGACAGATTTCCCATCATGTTTATACAAAAGTCTGAAACAGTTACGTGTACAAGGAAACCCGTTACAAAATAAACTAGATGATATCACTCCTGTAAGCATAGATCCTTCGAGGGCAACTACAACCCTCAAGTCGCGGAAAGGTAAGTAAATCAGTTATAGTTGAAAAAATTTAATAGTCAAATAATTGAGAATTCATCCGAATATGCCAGTCATAAGCCAGCGTTTGGATGACACGATAGTTTCTGTGTACTACACATTTTCTGCGTCATGCGAGAATTAGTTACTGCGATTGTCCCTTATATATTGTCACACATTTGCGCGTTTGATTTATGTGACAGCGTAGTCTGGTTTCGATTTGCATTACATATTCTTACAACAACAACAACAACCCATTTCCAAGTATTGTATTTGATTTATGCGACAGCGTAGTCTTGTTTCGATTTGCATTACTCATTTTTACCCCACACCTATTTCTTTGTAATGATAATAATGCCTTTATTGAAATCATATCCTATTCAGGATCTGGATTTTTAAAATACAATAAAGTTTCAGATACATAGAAAATGTCAAGACTAAATACAAATGAAGACAAAATGAAAACATAATAACATAAAATATAAAAACAGGGAGAACAAGGAATGGTTAGAAAAACAAAACAGAAAAGGTATCTTAATGAGTTATGTATATCAATTATATTTATGGGTGTCATTTTTTAAATTGAAGCACTCAAAGATATATTTTGCCAAATGAATTAGTGATTGTTTATCTTTTGTTTTTAGAATGTCTACATTGTGTTGGATTTATGTGACAGCGTAGTCTGATTTCGATTTGCATTACACATTCTTTTAACAACCCCCTCCCACTTTCATGTATTGTATTTGATTTGGTAATCCCCTTATCGTCATACAAAAATTTCAATTAAATCGGGGAAGTCGTCACCTGCGCATGCGTCAGATGGCCATAGCGTATCATTGTTTACAAACAAGCATCTACCCACGAGCCTTTGCGTTTTTAGCATGCGCTGGGACTCAATTCCCGCGCGTGCGCAGGTGACGACCCTTCCGCTTTAAGATTCTTAACACTTTTTAACTCATAATATTGTAAAGCAAATGTTTAAATATTTATTTAAATTAATTTATGTGAGATCCCAACTATTAGTAGTTGTACTCTTCTGACAATCATGTGCGTTCAATCTTTACAGATGAGAAAACAGCCGACCCAGTCAAAACCACTAGAAGTAACAACGGTAAAACCAAGCGTAAAAGGTGAATATAGCTACACGAGACTTTACTGTAATAGCTGTAATATGGTCATCAGGGGAGTGAATTGTTCGCCATGTGTGACCAGAAATAATGTTGAGATGAGGTGAAAATATTCTGACAAATAGAAAACAATGGTGGTGAATGGGTCAAAATTGGTATTAACACTATAAAATAAAATTATATTGTCGTAGACAAGGCAATCTAACTGAGTGTAGTCAATTAACACAAACACTCAAAGAGCATGTCCGTTACTTATGTTAGGAGATTAGTAAGTTACTTTTCGTGAAATATTTATCATTAGCTAATTTAAAATAAATAAACAAATAAATACATTGCCATGTATTTCAGACTACAATGTGTACAGTATTGTGATAGACTTGTGTTGTTTTTATAAAACACTCACCATTCATAATAACGTACAGTTCTATTGAATATTACTTTTTTTGTGATTACTCTAGGGGTATCCTGATGGTTAATGATGAATGGGGGACTGCCAAAGGTGGCATTTCCACTCTGAATCGTCAGATTGCTTGCCTGGCTGAATCAACTGGTCAGTTGAAAGTGTATGCGACTGCGTTGAGTCCAAGTGAAGAAGACAGAGCTGATGCGGAACAAAAAAATGTAACACTCATCACAGAGAAAATTCCGGGAAACCTGGAAAAAGAAGTTGGCAAACCAAAGTTGGAGTTGTTGACAAAAAATTATGAGACGTATTTCAAGCACTTAAAAGATCACAACGACATCGATATTATCATTGGCCATGTACCCATTACATCTAATGTAGCCTTGAACATTCGCGATTATTTCTTTCAAGGGAAGAAGGTATTTCTGTTCAACCATGTTATACCGGAAGACATAGAAGTACACAAAGAATCGTATTCTTGCGCCAAGGTCGAGAAACGAGAAAGTTCTATAAAACAACAAGCTGTAAAAGCCGATGCAGTGTTCTCAGTCGGCCGCCGGATCTTTGATCATTTCGATAATAAATTCCGCACCCTAAAACCAAAACCATCACATAAGACGTTCTATCCCCGTCCTGACCAGAAGTTTTTTGACATGGCAGTCACAGAGCCAGATGAAAATGGTAAAATTCAGATACTGACAATTGGACGAGTCCTCGGTGTGATCAACTTGAAGGGATATGACATAGCAGCAGCTGCTATTAGCAAGGTTGTGGAATCTTTTAAGAAGTTTAAGTCTCATGTACCAGTCTGGAAACTCAGGGGAGTACCAGAAGGCGAAGAGAAAAGTACCAAAGACTACATTAAGAAGTACATCACAACAGGCTGTCTTCAGATTAACCCATATCCCTATGGGACTCAAGACCAGATTCGTGACGATTTGGGAGAGAGTCACCTGTGCATTATAGCTTCTCGAAGTGAGCCTTTTGGTATGGTTGGGATGGAAGCTATAGCCGCCGGGGTTCCCGTGTTGGTGACAAGTCATTCTGGATTATCACAGTTTCTGGAAGATACGTTCCCAGATCAGGCACGAAATATAATAGTAGATGTTGGATTTAACGATGTGGAACTTGACAAGGATATCGGTAAATGGGAAGAGGCGATCAGAGATGTACTTACCGACCTAACAGTTGCCTTCACAGAGCTAAAAATTAAAAGAGCTTCTAGCCAATGTAAAACTGTTGAGAGTTCACATAACAGATTTCGGAATAAATGCCTTGAATAATATAACAATGATCCAACATACTATTGTTAATATTAATTCTAAAGTAGAGACGCCAAACCCTATTGAAATCAATTATCATATTTGTCGGATCAATTGTTATTTTTGTTAACAAGGTAAACAGACACAGCGAGGATAACTGCAGACGAATTGTATATGCAATAACGTATCATTATTTTTAAATTAAGATATAACAATTATAATAGTTTTAAAAAATAGTTGTACATTTGTAGATTCAAGAATAATGTTTAAAGTTGTGTTTTCTGCTATATTTGTGGGCATATTATGCATGTTGAATCCCGGGTAATTTGTATTACCTTCACCGAAAAGGTTATGTTTTAAAAAAAAGGTATTTGTTTAGCTGATTGTGTGTCAGCAGGTAACTCAAAATATTAATGACGAATTGCCATAAAATTAGCAGGACATGGACAAATCGATTTTGGAAGAAATCCGTATTTAGTTGCCATGATGGAAACAATTTGATGAAGAGCAATAATCAATTTCCCCAGTAACAAGCAGTCCAATTAGGTAATTTACATATTTAATCTCTATTAAAACAAGCGGACAGCAGACAGGATAGAAATTCGGAAGATTATCTTATTTTTATTTAATCTGATCATAAATAGACAATAGTTACGTATTCTATAACTGACATATATAGCTCAGTTCCATGTTATTCATTTCGGGAAGGTGTTACATACAAATAAAATGAATACATTGCATCGAAAATACCTACTATGATATTTTTTTTATTTAACATTGTTACGTTGATGTAATTCAAGCAGTTGCATAACAATGCACAATAACCCAAGACATATATAATAACAAATAACATATGCTGACAATAACTTGATCCATTCTTACAATTAAAAAATTCATTCATTTTTTTGTCGATATATTGTTTTTTTGAATTTCAAATTGGTAAATCTAGGTAGCCTATTGTTTATGCAACATACATGTATAATATAGCATTATATCGATGTATTCTGTGTTTCAAGCTTTACCTTCATTTGTACAAAATGTTCTATTAACAATGTTTGTTATATGATTACTCTACAAAAGAAATGTATATTCATATAAATTACAAGAATAATCTTCCAGATAATTTATTATGCTCTTTATATTTGCAAAATGTATTTACAATTTAAATTAAATTAAATAAATAAATACAGTGCTGTATACTTATTCCCCATTCCATGCCAATGTAATGCACAATTATGAGAAAACAATAGTGCAAACTTTCTATACTATGGGTTTAACGTCATCTGCAAATTATTGTTCGTATTTGGTAATTGTCGTTTATTAAATACTAATAAAGAGAATCACGTGCACGTGGAAATCCCTATAGTAGACTATATGTTACCCTTAGCACGGAGACTATTTTTACGGTTAAGAGTTCTCCTTGGCGTATAATAACATCAATACAACGACAATACTTACTTTGACCTTTTAGCATGCATTACAGTCAATGCTTTGCTTCACATAAAAAGTTGTTTATGAATTGAACATCCATACACAAGCACTGAATTTTGTAATACACTTGAACTAAATTTAAACTTAGCAGTTTGAATATATATACGCACTATTCTCTTCATATTAAAATATTAACTGTACATATAGTGTTCTTCTCAAAGAAATACTCAAGCTACACGGCTGGTAATTTTCAAAACACCCAAGCATTGTGGCCTCGATGCGCGAAAGCTTCTGAGGAGAGCACTGTACATTTCTTCTCACGTAATACCAAAGCCTCTATCATTTATACCAATTTTTATTGTTGTTTTTTTAAACTGAAACACGGTATTAAATCTAAAGTCTAGTAACGCATGTAAAATAATTAATTATATACTCAAATTTACTACACAGACTGGAGACCCGCAACGAACAATCTCTAGGCTTTACATAACTGACCAGTATTTATAAGTTTCATTGTTTTCTTTATATGCCCAATTATCATACCAGGGGCGAACTTGTCAACCAAAGTCTGTGGTGACAACTTGATATCGCTCTGACTGAAGCCTATCACACGACATTTATTAGGCTCTCTGTAAAACAAATAAAAGAAACGTATTGAATTGACGATGGCTGCAACAAGTTAAATTATCACACTCGTATACATACTGAATAAAACATTTCAGGTAGAGCTTTCAATATCAAATATATATCATGGTAGGTATGTATATACAAGAATCATCAAGGAATGCAATAATGACACAATCATGTCTTTTCATACAGTATTTATTTGCAGCACAATTTTATAATTAACATAAAAACTTGAATATTCTAGTTTTCGTAGAATTTATAATTAAATTAAATCGCAAGACCTAACAACCAAAAAGTGGCGTCAGGTGTCACAGATAACCCAACATAATGAAAGCACACAATTTTACTTACCCCTCAACTGGATACAGCAGTCTCCCCGATGGATAAGTTGTTCCACGTACGAACTCTGGTACTATTGGATAACTGGCATGTTCTACGTTATTATCTGAAATGTGAATACAATGGATATGAACCACATTATGTACGTGGTGAATAGTAGTTTTTATTTTAACAATTCTGTAGTTTTAATAATAAATAAAAGACGTAATTCCGTGCACTCGAGCACAGCTTACATAATCTGCCATTTTTATTATCCTATGTGTACAAGGCAGTTTCATCAATGAAGGTCGTAAATCGTACAAAAAGTCAGCGATATCCAATCGATAATCGATGCAGAATGTTGTCAGATACAATCGATTGCGAGTGTATGTCAATGCATGCGATTAATTCAGTATGGTGGGCGACGAGCCTTAAATTTTATCGTTGCCATGTGCAACAAGTGAGTGAATGTATTGTTCTATGCGAACCTTTGAACCTTTGAGTCCATGAGCCAAACAAATATTCATAATGGTAAGGTCGTAGTAATAACTAACAACTATAGTACAATAGTAACAACTATATATTTTATGCATAGCTGAGCGAAAAAAAATAAACCAAATATGAACAACTTTGAGTTATTTTTATAAACCTGCCACTGGAACACTAAAAAAAATTATTTTATTTTTATCCATAAAAAGCTGCCATTACTAACATCGTACACATTTATTTAAAGTCGATAATAGCATTCTCTACCTCAAATGGTACCGATCGACCAGTGTATTCAAATGTCCGTTTTCGACGTTGTGAAATTCTTTCGTTTGTAGAAAAATACAGTATTTGTATATAAAATCATATTTATTGTCTATACTTGATTTGTTGAACACCCTATATAGTTTGTTATTTCACCCAGCTTCTATCATTTAGAATTCAAGAAAACTAAAAGGCAAAAATATAGAGAATATAGCAAATTATCTTTTTTGTAATATTCTTATGTATTCTGTATTTACGAAAAGTACGTAGGGAATACATTTCTAATTGAATTACTCTTAATATAAATTTCTGAATTATCTTGTCAAAATCATTTTATCAGGGGTTTTTCTCCTGAAAAACTAAAGAATTTCCGTCGAAAACGTAGTGTTATACAATATATGTATTGGTAACTGGAGTTCAACGAACTATTATTGATTGGTTTTCTACAATTTTAGTGGTTTGCACATATTATACTTTCTAGTTCATTGCACGAGTAATACTGCAAAGCGTATACCTTGTTTATATGAAGGCTGGCAAATGAACTGTCCATGAAAGCTGGTGACCTAGCGAACAATCAACGCTCAGAAGGAGACCGTAATAACATAATTCTTTAACTTTATAAGTAGTTTTTGTAAGTATTTTGTTTCATATTATTTCGTTTCAATGTTGTTTAAATACTTCACAATACCCTAAACTGTAATTAACCATTCGGTATAATTGTAAACTGTTAAAAACATTTTATTGCAAAATGAAACTTTCTTCAAATTGTCTGTAAAAATGTAAAATGAAATGTATTTATTTTGTAACCAGCACCAGCTACCACCCCTCAATTAAGGTATGTTGAATGTTTTACCTGTTTAATGAAAACACAACGTGACGTAGCCTTACTTGGCATTGTTTTATTGTTATACAGACAATATCATTCACACCAAATACAATTACAGTAAATACATATAGTGCTAGTACAACATATAAATATAGTAACTTACTGTACACTGTGTATGCATTCTGTTCGGGAATTTCCTTCCAGCTTACGACATTGATGAACTCTCGAGGTGACACTAGTCCCATCAACTGACTTGCCAAAACGAAACGGGTTACTGCCATATCCTGTCGCACCAAGTAAGCAGAAACTGTTCAATTAGCAGACTAGTTAAGATTGACAATGATAGTTTTTGCATGACAGTTGATTAGGGGGAGCAATGACTTTGAGGTCGTCTGGTAGTTGTTGGTACTAATAAAGATGATGCAATCAATTGACCGTACAAGAAATACATATATCAAATGTTGCTAAAATAGTAATTAATATATATTCATTACAAATAAACACCACATTTCAAAAATGTCGTGCTATTCATATACATGATTGCCCCGTGCCGCATTGGAAGTTAAAGTAGCATTCCCTATTTGTATGATCCTTGGAAACCTCTCACTGACCACTGTATGCACAATATGGGCCTTGGATTGTGTATAATTCAAGACAAAGGAAGGAACTCGAAACACGCTAAAGTTGCCTTGAGTGATTACAATAATAAAAAGGTATGTTTGGCTTGGTGATAAAATATCTTATGGTAGCTTCATTGTTCCAATAATTCAGGATTTTTGCCAAACCAACTAATGTTTATGTTCTTCATAATGGCCACACTCCTCAGCCGCAGGTGTTTTGCATATATTACAAAGTAAGAATCTAACTTTAAGAATGTTAGAAGAGTGGTATTATCACATTTTACAAATAATGTCATCTTTCATAATGATAGGATTAGAAATGCCAGTAACACTTGGAACCCTTCCATTTTCGGATGGTGATGGCCAACTTGTGGTTAGCGATCTTGAAGGACTATTTGAAGTAGCCAAATCTGAATGTGTATTCCCTATTTTAATATTGAATGTACAAATAGTATAACAGTGTATTGTTTTGTGAAACTGTCCAGTGGGAGAGAATGGCATGCTAAACAACAATTATAACATTACTTACGTCCATCATTTCGAGAATTTGCGTTTCTTCAATGTTGTTGTTCAATTTTTGCAGCAACCCCATATCGCGAGTGAAGTCATAAACATTCTTTGGAGATGCATTGAATATAAAATCTGTTTTGTAACTGTCAATAAAGAAGAGAATTGGTGTTTGAATATCAAAATTACAATATTATAATGTCCGATGGTTGAAGTATATTCGCCCTGTCAAAATAATTCACGATTTCCTGGTATCACTCAATGAGAGACAATGCATATTTTTATTCTCCGAAAATAATTATATCTTATTGCAGCTTGTATTCAATTGTACACAAAACATGTACTTACAGTATACCATTAAATTCAGGTGAAGGTCTGTAGTACAGTTTAATTCCGTCCTAATCAAATAAATAATAATTTGGTGAGTATGGTTGATGATCATAAAAAAGTTATGGTAGTGTAAGCTGGTGATGATGATAAGCCAATGGCATGGTCACTCATCAGATTGCGTCTAAAAGTAATTTTTAAGTTGTCCCTGTGCGTGACCCCTAGTCTGTAACTACTGCTATTAATTAGGTTAATGTTTAGAATATACTGAGTCATTAGTATGCGGTTGGCTAATGTAATCCTGAAGGGCGATGTTATGCCAGGCACTCAAAAAATACCCAGCGGTGGTCTGTGGACAATCATTTGACTGAATCTATTGAGTCGTGCGTAATTTGTTCCGAGAATGATCCTAATGTTGTCAATGGAGAATCAAAAGTATCCTCGTGTAATATTTATAGAATAATCATGGAGAAAAACATTAGCATACCAGTTTTAATAATAATGAAAACATACTGTCTTCAATAATAGATTTGTTATTGAACTAGCACTTTCAATGGATATCGGTGTGCTTCAAAAGAATCTTTTATCACTGTTCCACCTTTATATTTTAATATTAATAATTAATTAATTAGTCAATGTTAAAGGGCGGTAGTCGTGGCGCCGCGCATGTGCGACATTTGTGTTGATAAACATTGATTTTCCCATGATCCAATGCGATTTTCTAAAGGAATTACAAGTACAAGTTTTGCCCTGAGCGCCACTTGCACTAATTACCGCTGGCGACTCGTCGATACCTTCCAAACACCACCACCACCTCCAAAAAATATGTAATTAAAGCTTTGTAAGCTCTCAGTGTGTACTATTTGGTGTGCGCAACAGTCAAAATCGCGATCTTTGTTTATATGAGACCCATATCTCGCGCATGCGCGGCGCGACGACTACCGCGCTTTAAGCTTTCCCACTGATATAACAATAAATACTCAACAAATACCAGCAAAGCTACATATATTCGCTAGGACAATGTGTAGACCTGATTAGGTTTTAGTTAAAATGTGTGCGTCCTGGTAGATGTGCATAATAAGTACCTAACTTGCATAAATTGACCAATTTGTAGCTGTTCCAAATATATATCCACACTTCAAATAAATGTTCTAGGATAACTCATAAAACTAATTCGTTAAGGGTTGACATTTTAATTACATAATTTGAATAATATTTCAATTGTTAGCTGTATGTCGCAAGATACACTCGTCAGATTTGTCATTTATCACACGCAACAGTATAGAAACATTGTTTGCTTCAGTGTTTTAACGTCAATGCACTTTGACCCAATGATATTTGTTGCCCTGCATCGAGAATATGCGCATCGATGTACTTGAAAATAAAATTACGTATTATTGAGATGTTGTTTTTTTATTCTGTATATGGAATTTGAGTTGTTGTTGTTTTGACAAAATACTGCTGTTTTGTGAATGATTTATTTCACATTTTACATCAAATCACAAATTATCGTCTATTCTTACCGTATTTTTGTGGAATATCCAACCACTCCCATCACTTGCATAGGATAGCACCTTTTCCAGGGCGATATCGGCAAGGGCACGGTAATCTGTCATTTCTAAGTTTGAAAGCTAAACCGACGAATCTAGTAAAGGAATGCCGACCAGGACTTCACAGCACAACAACGTGCACGTGCACGAGGCAATGATACAAGCTATGAAAACACATTATAAAACATTGCCCAATGGGTGTAAAGTGCAGGTCATACCGATAACCTTAGATCTGTGGTGATTCTAGTACGTTCGTATGCAAAATACCAGCGTTGCTGTAAGATTGACTGAACTAAAAATACATGTACCTTGACCATAAATATACAATGAAAAATGCTGACTTTTAGCATCATGAGATAAATGATGGTTGTACAGACATTTTTTATTCAATCAATCATTCCACTCAATTACGCAACCCGCTCAAATATATTCACTCATTGAAAATTATAAATTCCTGTAAAATGATAGTTTTGTGGCATGAATCTATTTTCTAGCAGTTTGATCTCGTTCAGCGACGCATATTCCTAGGAAATATGAATTTATTATAGGGTCAGACGATGTTGCGACCCTGCATTTTTAATTCGTAAGTACGTGACTGTTGACATGGGGATACATATGTATATGTGATGTTTTCATCTAATATCTGTACAACGCATATTCTATTAGCCTTTATTATTAAAGTAAAGGTATTTATATTCAGATTGGTGTTATTGTTGTTCACCATTTACCCCATATATCCCACATATCACGACAGTTTAGTATAATTAAGTTTCTATATATCCATACTGTGTAATACAAATGCCGCAATTTAATTGACATCATTGCTAAGTATTACAAAATATGGCAATACTTTGTAATGTCACTGGTTTTACACAATATTTCTTAGATTATTATTATTAGGAATTATATTAATTCGAATAATTCTGGTGGTTTCAGAGCTAGACTAAAATGCATGTCTTGTCTCATGTGAAGCCGCATATATTTGAGAAGATATAACTCTCCAACTCCAACATGTTTTGTGATGATTTCCGAATTGTGAAAACGGTCAAGGTTTCAAATGACTCCAAATTTAACAGTTCCAATACAATTCATGTCTGAAACCATAAATATAGTCCTGCTCCGAACATATCGATATTTCCTAATCGTAATAGGGTAAACGAAGGGTAACCAGTGTTCGTGAACGGCGATCAATTATGTAACTGAGTTAGACCGCTCTACAATGTTTTGATATGAAATTACTACACTTTTTAGTCCCGATTCGGACAAAGTCCGAAAACGGGGACTATTAATTTGGGTTCGTTCCGTCCGTCCGTACGTACGTTCGGAGCTATATCTCGGACACCCATTGACAGATTTCATTCAAACTTTACATGAAGACAATACATAATGTCTTACATATGCACGTCAAGTTACTTTATGATCGGAGAAAAAATGGCCGACTGGCGGCCATTTTGGATGTAAAATTTGCTATTTCTGATACCTAAACGTGTCCGCAGCAGTTTCTCGGAGATGACTGGGCCGATTTGGATCAAAGTTGGTATGGTGATCATACATATTGGGTTATAGGTGCACGTCATATTTTTTCTGTGCTTCAAACTAATATGGCTGACTGGTGGCCATTTTGTTTTTCATGATACCCATGCCTACTTTCCCATGAATGCAATGAACATTTCTGTTTAAATTTTGTACAAAGACAGTATACCAATAGATACATCAACATGAACATTATTTTTGTAATTTGATTCAATGTGACTTCCCAATGTCCAATTCTCGTGTAAAAGCTCTAAATCATAATTTTTTTACAAATGCATCTCCTATTTCAATCTAATCTCAATGACTTCATCAGCATCAAATTGATATGTCAGATTACAAAATTTTGGACGGGGACTGTGTCATTAACAATGACTTGTTTTAAAATAATATAGGGTCACTATATGACATCAATACTATTCCTATTGCACATATTCTATAATCCAGTAGGATTGTTTATTTACACATAGTCAAAACAGGTACGTTATTGTATGCATTAATATTTAATACTACACAGTAATATACACTCAAAAGATAAGTTTAAATACACTATTACGTAACAGTCCACTAAAACAATAATTCGCAGTAACATTTACAGAGATTATTAGCTAGATACAATACAATACAATACAATACAATACAAAATACAATATATCACTAAAACGACAAATCATGTAACGAATGGACCAGTTGATTACAACCATAACATCTTTCATCGTTCCAAGTTATTCTGTACAACTGAAAAGGAAATAAATTATTGTTTTACAAAATAAACGGATGATGCGGTTTCAGTAATAAGTACGTTGGTATAGCTAATCAGGAGGCATGTGTGTTTCACATGAGGTGAAAACCATGTCAATTGCAATAGTTGTTACTAATTTACAAATCATTTCGATCCCATGTTTTGTTGATTCCACATAATTTGGTATCTCATAACGTCACAAGTAAGCAAGTCGCATAGAAATTAAAGCATTAAATTGAAACAAGACCTATTATTAATGCAGAATGATGGCGAATTGTGTGTATCATGCGTTTGTTGAAAATGACAAATAAAATTAATGTACCTGTTTTCCTCCACCCAACTGTTTCCGAGCTCTTTAATGTCCATGGTAACACTTCCGTCGGGCAATTCGTAACCTTTGAAGGCATGCTTTTCGCCCGGGGGATATTTGGGTCCAAACAGTCCACACATTTTACGAATAAGTACCGAATCTGAGTTGATGTCCACATCCAACGAATTGCGATGAGTTTTCGGATTGCATTTCCATTCTATCCACCATTTTCCAGTCAATGAGAATATCATCATTTTGGTTCGTTCCCTGACTGTTAACGTGCCCACAGCTAAATCGTCAGTCATGAACGTCGTTCCATTACGGAGTTGCCCATCAACCTGAATACAAACATAGATAAATGTAAATAATTGAATATTATGGGTATAAACATGCCATGGAACAAAAAACTTTGATATACTCAAGAATTATGATTGGTCAAAAGTCTAGTGGCAATAGACCGTGTTAAGTTGTTCGAAGATACTGTCGTATTCCGTAGTAGAATGAGGTTTTTTTTTCATATTTACGGTCACTTCCCTTCATTGTTATTGTAGTCGTTTGGTATTTGTAATAGCTAAATCATCCAAACTATAATTTTCGAATTTTCGACATGCACTCTAAAAGAATGATTAGTTTGTCTACCGATATGTCTCCATTGTTCATTAGGTTGACAACATGACCATCGGCGTAAACAGTGGCACTCTCTATGCGACGAACACTGGCACTGACGGATTCATGCTTCACAACTAACTTCAATGAATGCTCAGCTTCTTGGCAGGTGTCTGTTAAAATATAACTACACGGACCATTGAAATCGATTTTTTTATCCCCATATGTAGTATAGTGTGGGTCACCATGTCCATTTCCTGATTTACATGGACATTCTGTAAACAAAGTTTTAGTTAAATTCAGTGTGACGATGAAAATATCATCGGAAGTTATCAAATAGTTTGTTTTTTTTGTAAAAACGTTAGTGCACGTGTATATGATACATACCGGTCTGTATACTGAATGAACCCAACCTTTTCGTTTCTCCACTCTTTACCAGTTCAGTAATAATCGTGACATTGGTGCATGGATCGTACGGCCCAATTGTGATAGTAAATGTCGCATGGTCCATATACCGGAAAAACATGTTCTGTGAAACAGCTGTCCAATCATTTGGAACCAGGTTGGGATCGGTATAAACTTTGATAAACATCTGACCACCTTCAAAACGATCGGTGAAGTCTATTGTCCAAAACGCTATGTTCGTGCACGATGCATACAAGACGTAAGCAACTCTTGTCTCTAATTATTAGAAGAAAATCAAAATATAACACAGTTGCAAAATTGCCATTATTACACATAGCAACGACTCCAGAACGTTACGTTTGTTACATTTTTTATGTTATGCAAAATTCTGCTTGCGCTCACTACAAGTTATTTTGAGCTGATATTTTGGGGTCGGCGAGAATGGTTAGTGTGCCCGCCTGCAGTGGCGCTGCGCCACGGCGTGTGATCGCGTTCGAATCTCATGTTGTTTGTTTGCATGTAATTATTTACAGCTAAAATGGGTAATAACACCAACAATTGTGAAGCTTTGGTTGTTACTTTAACGGCGAATTAGTACTGCTTGCCTATGTATTTATTGCTAGAGTTAACTAAGCTAATTAACTAATTAGGTTAACTAAGCTAATTAGCGGAAATGGGAATTGTGGTACAATGCTGATTGGTTCATGCATTTTGAAGCATCGGGTTGCATCGATCATAACATTTCAAAGATTTATATTATTTTTTTAAATGAATGACAGGTAAATAACAAATTTGGAATATCAGATTGTAAACTTTGTGCTTTGCTGTGGTAACATTGATATCGGTTATATTTGCGGCGAATTCGACAGTAAATAGGATGGTACCTCTGTTTTTGTACATTCAAACTCAAAAACCGGAGCAGCCGTACACACTTTCTTTAATTGAATATTCTTGGAATATATTTCTATACAAAGTTCTAAAAATATACATAAATATAATTACCTTGACCCATTTGTCTTTTGGATGACGTAGTAGCATTCATGGATTTCATTATTTCTTCTAAAGGCTGTATAGTTAACTAAGAAAGAAAGAGAACATGATGTACTATCGATCAAACACGATCCAGACATTTTTTTGTAGTTTATTTAGAGGAAAGCTGAGTAACGGAGTGCCAATACTACACAACGGCCAACATCAGGTCAAGTGTGTGTTGAAACGTTCAATCATACGTTCTTTGACACGATTGGGCACGGTTTAAAGGTAATAACTATATATTAATAAAAGTACTTAGTATGGAATTGCATTTG